TAGCATACATTAATGCTCGGTGGCGTAGTGTATAAGCGCTGCGGCCCGCGATCGTTGTTGTTAAGCAATTTTCTCAAGGGTCGGTCACGGGATGGGTGACCAAAAATTATTATCTCGAGCTACTTCGTGCTTCGGAAGGCACGTTAAGCCGTTGGTCCCGGCAGCATTTGCAGTCGTTAATACCCTCCAATCCGCATTGGGCCAACGTGGAGGGTCACAGCCCGTCCTCCTTAACCATCCATTTTTATTTTTTTATGTTTACAAAACTACATTATCAAATAATCTTATTACATTTCTAGTGGATAATGTCCTAACTTTTATCTCCAGCCCAATCAGAATCAACAAAACAATCTAATATATCAGTATTATTATGTTTATAATATATTAATTTTAATTTATTTTAATACCCTTACAGTGTTATTAATAAGCAGGCTAATTTACGCTAAAATTTTAAAGTTGACTTTATAGCTACAGGTGGATAGATATCAACAATACTATCAGTCTGTTGAAAATCCCTTACTACTAACCTTGCTTTACGTTTTTTTTTATGTGATAGCGGCAGACGAACTGACGGATCACCTGATGGTAAGTGATTACCGTCGCCCATGGACACCTGACACACCAAAGGGGCTACAAGCGCGCTACCGGCCTTTGAGAGACAAATATGCTCTGCGCTTGAAAGTTTTCACTCTTTCTTTATTAAATCCATTTCACATCAATTACCTTTTTGTATACATGTGACTTGTCGATGAGAGTCCGTGTCTTATTTTACACAAGGCTGTTTATCTGATGGTCCATAGTTTCTTTACATTTACTAGAATCCTCACAGGTCATTGAATACAATAATATCGAGATTCTTCATAAAATCGTCGAGGAGCCTTAATTATTCTTTTCAATTTCTATTCTTGCTTGTTTTCGTAAATTTTTGAATAATCTCAACTTTTATCATTATCTCTATTTTTCGCTTTCAAGCATTAGTTTTCTTTATTATTTCATTTTCTTCTTCCGATGTTTTTCATCTTCCTCATTTTCAAATTCACACATTGTTGTATCTTCTTCTATAATATCGCATCATCTAGCTATTATAACTTTATTGTAGATCAATACTCTATATCCTGTACCACTATATCCAAGTAAAATTCTCTACTAAACTGCCATATATTCTCAAGTATTTCACTGATGTAATATTTCATATAGTGTTTTTCTTTCGACAGTATTAGATAAAGTTCTGTTTTTATTATTGATCTGTTTTTAATAAAATTTTCTCTGACCTATATCCATAAATATCGGTTATACCTTTCTGCTGTTCCATTTACTTCGTGTACATATGCTGGGCAAGGCTTTGTTCATTAAATTATCTGAATATGAAATTAGATTTTTAATATGAGACAATTTGACCGCCATGGATTATTACGTATGGGGGCATATGAAAACTTTAGTATACTAAGAAAACCAGCCCGTTGCAAATGTGGCAGAATTAAAAATAAAAATAATAAAAGCTGATCAAATAAAACTAACTAAACTTAAGCTTACGAGTTTTCAAAACAGAATTAAGATAAAGGATGAGGATTTGTGTCAGAAACTAAGATAGTCATTTTGAACATGACTTAGTCATGAAACAAAAAATATTAATATTTTCATTTTCAACTTGACCATCTGGTATTTTACAGTGTAAAGGTGAACTTATGAGATTTTTATTTTTCTAGCTGCTATATTGCCTAATATCTTAGGCATTAGGCCAGCTACGGTAAAGTTGTATATCTCATTTGGAAGCTTGAGATATGGAGAAGTTTTTTTTATAATACGCACAACAAACGTCATAGTGAAATTTGAGTTAAAGGAGCAGATATGTTGGTGAAACTAGTATTTTTTTACTGTCTTTTGCATTTAGGAGCACTGTGTTTAAAAGAACGCCATTATTGTTCACTGAATGATTTGGATAAGTATTTAGACTCTTAATATGAGATAATAAAGAAAAAGAATCAGTATATTTTGAGTATTTTCTTTGTTTCCTTAATTTTAAGTTGCCACGAAGGATTTTCCCAAAAAAATACATTTTATTTAGGAATGACCCATTTTATCACATGAGTGTCAATATATAAAAATGTTTCAAATGACCTGTACTTATAATCCTTTACAATTGCTCTAATTCTAAGTCACCCTGTATACGGGTATTTAGCCTTCTTATATAAAAAAAAAACCATGTTACGGTAACTATAAACAATGCCAATCGTTATATTTTGGATAGATTTATCCATGTTTTTTAGGTTATGGTTATACCTCTTATTTGAGAACACGTAGAGATATCAAGCGGAAATTCAAATCAATCAGATTTAGAACTATAGTCTCTTTTTATTATTATGTAACATTTTTGCACAAACGTACAAGGTGGACGTAATGCCTAACCTTAGAGGGATGTGGAGCTAAATAAGACGTATAGCTGTGATAAAATAAATATTCTTGATCAACACGAAAAAGGTACTTTTATTTTCACTGCAGAAACGCATATTACGTCACTCGAAAGAATCAAAGTTGATACTACTCTCTTTGACCTAGAACTATGAAATTTTGTCTTTTTATAATATAAATAAAAAAAAAACATTTGGAAACTATACATTTATAATCACCAGGAAATATACTCTTACACTCGTATTGTCGAAAAGAAATTAAGTTACTAGTTCAAGTGATACCATATGATATGGCTTGATGCATACATGACTCGAGCAGTCGTGTTAGGGTGCCACAATATATCCATTTTACGTAATTGATTATGACCTCTACATTCAATGTATTAATATTTTGAATCAAATCGATTTTTTTACATTTTTGTATGGGCTAACGTGCTACAATTCTCCTCGTATTTCAAAATAGATTTTATTTATTTTTCACGGTATGTTTTTTCACAATATGATTCATTTTCATAAAAATAATTTCCGAGATTAATTCGATTTCACCCATAGGTAAGGCTTGTGATGATTAATTTCTATGCTGTCGATTTGGAGTTTTTTCATCAAGTCCAGATAGTTTAGAAATTTCGTAAAAATATCAATTAGCCTGTTTGACTACACCGAACATTACGAAGTTGATTGTATGCAAATAACTTTATTTGACCCAGGATGTAGAATCAATGTGATGCATGAAATAGTTAAAGTTTTTTTATTCGTATTTAATCATTAATATACAGCTAATTAATATGAAACGTCACAGTAACACTAAGACTTCGCTATCCTTCCATCTGTTGTTCTATTAGTGTGTCACCAGGCTGTATCTAACCGTGATAGTTAGTTAAAATTTTAATTGATTGTGTTGCCGCTGTAAAAACGAAAAGCTATTTAAATTTGAACATAATATGCATACCATAGATATATAAATATATGTGACGTACAGAGTCTTCCTACGCAATTCAACTCGGAAGAAGAACTGGAAAAACTACATTCTAAATAACCCTTAATTTGTTTAGTTACTTTTTGTTACTTTGTTTGTTTTTTAATAGTTTTACACATAATTGAAACTTTTTGCTTACATTATATAAATGTTACAATATTTCATAAATTGTTTATGTCATACGAATATACAAATAGTCTTTTATATTACATTGTTACCCAGAAAAATTTCCCTACTTATACTACATATGTTACACTATACAAAAATATTTATACAAGACATAAATACATACAACGTGTCCCAAAATTCAACGATAAGCGGGCGCCAAGAGGTAGACCTGCTCATGTGTACTTATGGAAAAATAAGAAAAAAATTATATGTTATTAATCTTTTTTTATTATAAAATTAAATTCGAAAATCTTCGAAAATTTACACCTTTTATGATATTTTCAACTACCACGACCACAACTTCTCAATTATGTTCAATCTTTTTTTGGTATCGGATACCTAAGTAGCACTACTATTCGCTACAACTTTTTTGCTGAAGCTCGTCCAATGTCGTAATGAGTTTTTCATAGATTTTGTCTTTGAGACAACCCCAATAGAAAAAGTCCAGGGGGTTTAGGTCGGGTGATCGGGGTGGCCATAAGATAGGACCAAGTCGCCCAATCCAACGCCCGGAATACTCTTGGTTTACAAATGGTGTGCATATATTTTTACTGTGACTGTGACTGTTTTTAGATTATTATACCATTTTGGAATCTTGATGAGTTCAGTCAATTTTAAAAATAACTTGCCTCAGTGGTGTCCATACTTTTTTCTACATGACTGTGAGTCAAAGACTACGGAACGTAAAAATCTGTGAAAATTTAAGGAAAAAAATACATTTTGATTGTTTTTGTGTAAATACTGTGGGCATTTTGGTGTTTTTTATAGTTGTAGCGAATATTAGTACTACTTAGGTATCCGATACCAAAAAAAGATTGAACATAATTGAGAAGTTGTGGTCGTGGTAGTTGAAAATATCATAAAAGGTGTAAATTTTCAAATTTTATTTTAAGATTAATAAGATATAATTTTTTTCTTATTTTTCCATAAGTACACATGAGCAGGTCTACCTTTTGGCGCCCGCTTATCGTTGAATTTTGGGACACGTTGTATATAGGCAATTGGCTCATATCAGGGTTAATATTCGCTTCCATATCCAATAGGTGACGTGGATAAACGGGCGAGGAGAAATAACAAATCAGATATGATAAATCTTATTCACGGTTTAATAATTCAAGAATCATTCAATCGAGAAAATCAACATGTGAAGTTATAGTTCGCACTTTTATTTAAGTAACAGTTAAGACGTTCCACGGAACACGTGGTGCACGCGGCGGATGGAAACCGATAATGCCACCAGCGATCCGAGTTACGTCAAGCGAGCTGTCACTTATCCGTCAGTGTCTTTCGCTTTGCTATGATTTGATCTGTCAAATCACTTATCCTATCCTATTAATATTATAAAGGCGAAAGTTTGTAAGTATGGATGTATGGATGTTTGTTACTCTTTCACGAAAAAACTACTGGACGGATTTGGATAAAACTTTACAGCAATATAGGTTATACATCAGAATAACACATAGGGTACTTTTTACTGGGAAAACTTCTCACTCCCACGGGATACCGACTTCCACGCGGACGAAGTCGCGGGCGTCCACTAGTCGATTATAATTCTACATCGATTAATTATGAAATCACCGTCACATACATTATATTTTACACATATACATAAATATTTATATGTGTTATTTACACAATTACTTTTTCTTATTTAGGAACATGACGCTAACCAGTTACGCCAACTACAAGTTTTATACTATTATATTAGTGTCTTGGATTTTCAATTAAGAGTATATTTAAAAAAAATTGGATAAACAGTTTTTTGTAAATAAATTTAACATAATTAACATAAATGCTATTGTTAATAAACTAGACAGTTTTGAATTAGCGGAAGAAGTGAAATGTGACACTCAGGAATGTATTGATTATCTGGTAAAGCCAAAGCCATATTTAAAAATGCTCCAGCAAAAAATTAGGAGTAATAACCAAAATTTCTTCAAGCTACAGATATTATATTATATGGATATGGATTGTGATATAAAAGTATTATCCGAATGTTGGTTGACTAAAAATTGCAATACACCATGTTTGAATGACTATAACCATTATAGCACTACTGTGAACCTTAATCAAAATAATAGGGTGATTGTGTATGTAAATAATCAATTGGATGTTACAGTGGATAAACTAATACTTTCAGAGGCTAATTGTTTTGTATTAAAATTCGACAGTGATACAGTATTAATTGCTATTTACAGACCACCCTGTTTCAGAAATTAAGAAACATTCTTGAATTCCCTACAGTGTTTACAGGAAAATATAGTTAGCTTTAAAAATAGGTATAACTATAATCCTTCTTGGTGACATCGATATAAATATTTTAAAGTCGACAACTGACAGTTCATCTTATCTTGGTATTGTTTCTTTTTGCGGCTTACACCTTCAATACAACGTCCCGTGGAATAAATTGCTTGGATCATGTCATTATGAAAAAAAAAATTCACTAATTGGTGGTGCCTTGGCTTATCATGACGCAATTTTATTTTGTTTGGAAAAGAAAGCTTCGAAAATAAGTCACATATGTAGTATAAAATGTAAATATAACTTGAAAACTATCAAAAATAATTGTTCTCAGATTTACTTTAATGCTATATATTCCGACAATGATCTAAATAAAGCCACAAATTTATTCATTAGTTCTATTTACATTGTGGTGACGGATAACATCATAACTGTAAGAAGCTCAAGAAATAATTTCAAAATTAAACCATCGATGACCACTACTTTATTTCGTTTTGTAAAAACAAGAGATAAAATGCATAGTAGAACAAAAAAGGAACAAGACAACGATATTCTTAAAAATAATTTATAAAAGACATAAATTTTTACAATAACTTATTAAGGAAAATTAAAAGACAATATGAAAAAGGTGAACCACTTAAAGATAAGAATAACAATAACAAAACATTAAAGATAATACTCAGGAATCCATAGATAATGTTAATGTGGGAAAAAGTTGCGATGAATATTCCACAAAATTTTATTCAAACGGAGCAAATATATATGTAATTGTTCAAATACGACAACCTCAAGTTCCTTCGCATTGGTTGATGTGACTGTTGAAGAAACATCAACAATTATCACCAATTTAAAAGCTGACTGCGCGTCAGGCTATGGCATCATTCTTCGGGACAGTGTAAAAATGATAGCACCTCTTCTAACAGATTTAATAAATTGTAGTCTAAATATGGCACTTTTTCTTTGAGCGTGTCATAAATAACAGACTTATTAAATACATCGAAAAGAATAAACTGTTAGCGGAAAAGCAGTTGGTTTAGAGGAAAAGTCAACTGAAGAGGCAGTTCATAAGCTTGTTTAGGGCTTAGAGGAGAAATTCGAGAAAAATATAAAATGCCTTATCATGTTCCCGCACCTCAAAAAGGCATTTGATACAGTTTCTATATGTATCCTATTGAACAAACTAAGTGATAAAATAGGAAAACACTTAAGTAAAGAACATAGTCCGACTTTATTTTTGTGCTACATAAATGATCTTTGCCTGTTAAGGATTCAAAATTGTGAAAATATCATATGCCGATTATACTGCCCATTTTTTGCAGATACATGTGACGAAATTTTTATATCGGCACAGAATGGATTAACAGTGGCTCACTGCAAACAGTTTTACACTACTCGTAAATGCAGAAAAGACCAAATATATACGAGTATGATACGCTATACGTAAATTATCTTTACAGCAACATCTGAATATACTCGTATATGCACATAATTCTTCTCTTTCATTATTAACACCTTTAGCCATCACCATTAACCATTAACAAGCAATAAGTATGTTGAAACATATAAAATACATTGGTGAAAATCTTACTTTAAAAGAACATATACATAACATCTTTAGGAGATTTAGAAAATTTATTTTGTATCGCAGCCATATTTTGGTGGCCTGGCAACCGCGAACGGCCCCACGGCTCCACGGTCAGAGTAACCCGCAGAATAAGGACTCTCATTCAAGAAAACCAGGAGCTATTCACAGCGCATGAGTACGAGAATCTGCACAGACCGAAACCACATCAACCACCAAAATGTATGGCCTGCCGAAAGTACACAAACCCGATATACCTCTGCGACCAACTGTGAGTCAAGTTTTTTCTCCTACTTACAACTTGGCCAGACATGATGCCTCAGTACTAGAGCCAAGAGCCAGGTGAAGTTATGGTGAGTTTTGACGTTGAGTCATTTTTCACTATTATTCAAATTAGAGAGTGCCTAGAAGTGGTGAAAGAAATTCTGGTAGAAAAAGAGATGCCTCTCAATTATATCGATCTCCTGAAGAACTGCTTAGATGGGACCTACTTCCTTTTCCAAGGTCAGTACTACCTCCAAATCGATAGCGTCGCCATGGGAAGTCCAGTAGCCCCGGTACTTGCCAATATATGGATGGAATATTTTGAAATAAATGTGCTGAATTTTAAGCCATTCATTATACGGCTTTGGAAGAGGTATGTGGATGATATATCCTGCATCATCAAAGGCGGTGAACATGAGATAGATTCTCTACAACAGCATATTAATTCAATTCATCCGAAAATGAAAGTCAATTTTGAGTTGAAAGTGGAAAGGACGTTGTCTTTTTTGGATGTGAAGATTTCTGTGAAGCCGGATGGATCCATATCGCACTGTGTTTACCGCAAACCAACACACACGGATAGATACCTACACGCAACGTCACATCATCATCCCCGTCATTTGCAATCCGTGGCCACTTCATTGAAGAACAGAGCTTATACTCTGTGTGACCCTGAACATGTAGGACAAGAGTTGGCCCATGTTGACGAGGTACTGAAGAAAAATTGATATCAAGTGCACGGACGACATAAGCAGCCGACACTAAAGAGTAGAGTTCTTGAGGCCATAAGACAGCCAGCCTATCTGCCTTATGTCAAAGGAGTCAAAGGAGTTATGGTCATGTACTAAGTAATTAATCTGTGCCGATTAAGGTAAATAAAATCGTGGAAACGCTGAAGGATGTTTTACCATTACAAACACCTGGCATGTATAAGATTGAGTGCAGTTGTGGTCGTTGTTACATTGGTCAGACGAAACGAACAATAACTGAAAGAGTCCGTGAACACATCACAGCTGTGAAAAACCACCAGATAAACAAATTGACGATCGCAGATTACTAACTGGAAAGGGGCACAAACCACTGGATTGAATTCTATCGTAAACGGGTACTCTCTGCGGATCGTCATTTCTATTCGCGGATTGTGCGTGAGGCGATTGAAATTAAAAAACATCCCAGCAATTTCAATCGCGAAGATGGTTTTAATTATCAACAACGTGGAATCCAGCGATAAAAAACTTTTCGTGGTTGCCGGACCACCAGAATACGTCTGCGATACAGAATAGGGATTCCGTTAGTGTTGTGTGTGGCGGTTTCTGGGAAAAAAACTTGACAGTAGAAGTGGATTCCACTTCAGAATATGAGACGTAGCATTGCAGAAATAGTCAGCCCGTGACCACGGCCGGTGTAACCTGGTCGCAACGTCGGGAAATATAGGTAGGTGAAAAACCTAACTATCGAAAATTTTTTGGCGTTAATACCCGTCTTATACAATCTATTATAATGCAACGCGCAAGTTTAAAAGCTTACAATGGCTCTAAACCCAATCATACAATGATACTGAAAAAGTTATGACTACTTAATATATCATCACTGTACGAGATGATGGTACACCAAAGAAAAAAGGATTATAATTTACAAAGATACAGTTTATTGGCACACAAAATACTTATATGTAAATTGGTAATTAATGTATGATGATTATGAGTCGCGATTGAATAAAGACTGTCGTGCCATGCCCTAGATTTGGCACAGTAGCGTAAAAATGCAACGCTGCAAAAAAGGCTGCTTGAAAGGCGGTTAGTATCATTTGCACTACGATATTCACTAACACTTATATCATCACTTGCACTCACTGGTACTTCACACTATTCACTGACAACGTCTTCGTGTGAGGCGCTTCCTCACACGAAGACGTTGTCAGTTGTCGTGAGTGCGTCACTAGTGGCGTATGCCCTCTGTGTCCGGACCTGTTCGTTGTTTGTTGCGGCGGGGCGGCGAGTTCGCCACCATACGAATGCGGCATAACCTACTACAACTATCCCTATGGTGTAAATAGTAGCGAATTGATGGACGACAAGTCGTCTGGTAACTCGATTTTTCATTGAAGTCCGTGGTACGGTCAAGTTGATAATTTTGTTGACGGGTGCGATTTCAGCTAGAACTATGTCTGGTTCTATATTTAATTGATTTGTGTGCTGTTTATGTCCGATAATCGTGAATGTCTCGCCTTTAATTATTCAATCGTTACCGAGCTCAATTATATTAGTAGCATTTAATTGTTCATTTGTAATTTGATCGCACATATGAATCTCAAGTTGCATTTGCTGCAACAGGTAATTAAAAATGTATTTACATGAAATAGTTCAATCCACATATCTCGGCACGCATTAGTGGATATAATACATGTATTGTTATATTGATCTCTGATGCAGAAGTTATCATCTGACTCTCTGTGATATATTGGTTTCTGCAATTCACATAATACGTGATTCTCCTGTATGCGTGGAACGGGGTAGGTTTTATATAATTTTTAACTATTTCTGTTCACTATTGGTATTAGAATTTCAAAAATAAAATATTGTTTTGTCAAGTGAGCTCTTACTTTGAGGATGTCATACATCTTTGGTAAGTCGGTTAATATATCTTTAATCGGCAATGTCGTGTCCTTTGATAGTTGTTCGAAAATAATGTTCAATTCAGTCCAAAGTTGTTATAGCGATATGTGGAAATTAAAATGATGAGTATTGGTAATTGTATCCAACAGGGTATTCTGTATGGTTGATAAGATAAGATAAACTCTTCGGCCATATCGATCTCTTTAATTTCTTTTTGCAAGTTATATGACGCTTGTTCAAAAACGTTAAGATGATCTTTAAAAAGTTTGTGATGATTATCCATTGTATTTTCTATGCGCTGCTATAAGTTATTTTCGGCTTCAACGACACAAGTTTGGTTCTTCCAAAGACTAATTAAATTATTTGTTTGCGTTTAATACTCGTAATATCTTTTTCATATTTCGCGGCGAATTTTTCGTCTAACAACCCAAATAAGCTATTAGCGACATTTCCCACGGCATTGATTAGTCCGCGTCGCGTTGCTGACTTTGCAACATGAGGTTATAGGAATCCAGTTCTGAGAAATTATGATATAATTCTAGTTTAATTGTGTCGCAATGGAATTTTCTTTCGATGATATTACATAATGATTCTAAATGTTTATAACATTCTTTTAATAATTGTGCTCCTTTCCAGTATGGATTCATATTATAATAAACTTTAGTTTCCATTTGTCCTGTACAAACATTATATTTGATAATTAATCAAAATATGTATTATTATTATTATGCAATGATTTAATGTCATAAGTTGTTTGGGCTGATACGGAACCACATAACATAAATAATAAAAACATTGTAACCTTAAAGCTGATGCATGATGTCATGAATTTATTATTGGTAATCCGTTTTTTCGCTGGTTTTGGTTCTGCAGCCTGCGTTTCATGCAATGACCTTTGTTTATTAGTAGTAGTTGTGATCCGCGGGCAGTAGGGATACCTTAATTATAGGTCTTTTCATTGCTGTTCACATTTTATATTTATTACAAGTACAAATATACACACAGTTTAAATTATTTACACTTTTACAAATAATACTTAGTCTATAACACTATCTGGTTTTACTTATTTTTATTTACATATATTTACACTTTAATGCACATTCAACACTCTACCTTTTTAAATTTTACTAATGATTAATTACAAAAATTTAAGAGTTAGTCTTTTTCATTGCAGGTTCCCTGCGTACTGGACATGAGGAACTGATTGTGGAGATAGAAAGATTGGTCCCAGATATCCTTGCAATAAACGAAACATGGCTTCGGGTGGGCGAGGATGACAAGGCGCTTAAAGTTAGGGGTTATAGATTGATTCGTACTCCCAGGCCCACTCATATACGGGGTGGTCGTGGTGGTGGAGTGGGTCTCTATATACGCAGGGGCATGAATGTACGAATGTGTCCCCACCCCATCTCACCGGGGGTGGAGCAGATGTGGCTGATGGTCCATCTGCATAATTTAAACATTATTATAGGTACCGCATATCGGCCGCCACGTTCTGATGTTGATATATTCTTTGACGCCATTACAGAGAGTATTACTTCTTTTTCCAAGCGAGATGGACTTATTCTGTTAGGTGACTTTAACATCGACTTGTTGAAGGCTGGTAGTGGTAAGTGTGGGCTGTTCTCTCAATTCACTTCTAGTATGAACCTTAATCAGGTGATCACCGAACCCACACACTTTACTGGAGACAGCGGTAGTCTGATCGATGTATGTCATTTGCGCAGATACTAGGGCACTACATGTTACAGTCAGACACAGTCCTGACCTTGGAAGACATGCAATTCTTTTGGCAGAATTTAAAATAAAAAAGGAAAAGTCATGTCCACAGTGGGTACAGTATAGGCCCTTAAAGAATATTATTTTAGAACAATTAAATA